TTGCTGGTACCTAAGTTAAGGGGTGTCAAGATCTCTATCGATGGTATCGTTTGATGTATACCATGGTGCATTAGTTATTGTTCTAAGGGTTTAATTCTGTAGAACTTGTAGTTTACGCATGTGTGACGTAGCTAAAAAGTACCAAGCCGCATTTGCGGCAAGTCTGATGATGGGTTTCTATATACGAATCTTTTTGACCAAACTCAATTTTGAGGTTTCCACAAGGATTTTTAGTAGTTTTAATAGCCAGAAAAGGAAACTCTTTTGAATAAGTTTATAGAGGAGGCCTGCGTGCCACACCTTGTCAAAGGCTTTCGCGACCTCCAGAAATGTCTTCAATTAATTTAGAAAAATGGCCTCAAGTAGATTGGTTATAAACTTCCTTTGCCTTCGTTGGAGATTTCAAAGAAAAGGGATAATCAACTCGTTTCAAAAGGCGAAATCGAATCGTCGAGGTAGGTTCACTTAGGTACGATGAATCTTCGACCTCTGCATATCAATCTGAATAAAGTAAATCTCATCATATTAGTCACCATGTGCCGCATACAGCTTCCAAACTGCAATTTACATCCCCTCCAAAAAAGTCTGAAAATGATCAGAAATTTTAGTTCGGGTTGAAAAACGGCATAAGCTGACACCACCTTTTCGTCATTATTCCTTTTAAACCAATTATTTTGTAATCATGTGACGAATAAAGCCCATTTATTATTATTATTATCGATGTTCCACCGATTCTATTTACGCCGCTTCCGAATCAATTTTCAAAATCTACAACTACCTAAACGATGGAAGTAATAAACTTCCTATAATATTCGAACTTCTATTCACAAATTTTCTGTTGCTTAAAGATGTCTGCACAACACAAGTTCGTATTTCTCATTTAGGGGCCGTTCAAGTATTACGTAAGCAGATTTATTACAATTGTTTACCCCCCCCCCCCATCCCCCTTGTCAGCAAAAGTAAGCAAAGCTCTTACCCCCCCCCCATGCTTACGTAAACATTTGTCAATTAATGTATTGTTTTTTTAATATTATAGTTATAACGTTATAATTATAATTTGAAAAATAAGAAAATAGATTTAGGATAGAGGTTATATTTTACTGATACGGTATTCAACGTAGAGTAAAAGACAAAAATATTATATCTTACTAACATAACAAACTTATTTTAAACTTTTGGTACATATATTAAATTCAAATTAACAGTCTTCAGTCCATGAAACCCGAATCCATGATTCCAAGTTTTCGATGACATTGGATTGCTTCGATTGCTGCTCAGTGTTGTGAGTTTCCTCGCTTTCATCGGATTTTGGAATGTCTACGTCGTTCTCATCGAGCCATTCGACATCATGCTGCTCTAAATTTTGAATAATGCACATCAGTTCATTAGCACGACTCTTACAGGTCTAACTTTCCTATCAGTGTGCGAGTTTACTTTGTTATGGATAGCCTAGATACGCCACTTTGGCGTGTTGTTTTCCCCCTGTAGATCTCAGCTCGTATTAATACTCCCCCAGGACGCATTCCTGACGACCTGACTATCGTTCAGAGCTACCACAACGCTTGAAATTTGGTCTAAATCACTTCACTCATTATATTCTAACACGGAAAACCAAAAATATCAATTTCTACTTCTATGTGTAACACATGGCAACAAAAATTTCTGTGGGATGTTATAAAAACATTAGGTTTGCTAGAATATTCGAGACTTTATATCGGAGACCAAATATTATTTACAACAGTGCACTATCCCTAATATAGAATATTGTAATTATATTTAATGATTAATCTAAAGTTTAGCGTCGTCGAGAAGATGTGAATACAAGGGGAGGTGGTCAGAAAGCACGTAATTCACGGCACCGGGAAAAAACTTCATTACGTATCCAACTATTGCTAAAATATACAAGGTTACAGGAAAAGTCGTGCTAGATCCGTTAAGGGCGTGTAGTACCCATCATTTCTGACTTATTTCATTATTAAACACCCTACCCTAAACTTAACCCTTTTCGAGATATTCAACTTTTAATGTTTTTATTGAAAATTGCCGATTTTTAGGCTACTAAATGTATTTATTTTTATTTTGTGTGTGTTATTATTACTATTATTGCATTTTAACATGTGTAATAAGATGCTTTAGGACGTCAATCATTAAAATAGTCCATAAGTTAATTGAATAGGCTGTAGTAGATAAGTGAATGTTAAGAAATTGAAAAAAATATCAGAAAGTTTATTTTTCTCTAAGGGATATCTAAAAAAAATATTATGGCAATTGTTCGGCAGATGTGTTTTAAAATATCTATGTTTTATCAGCTATCTAACGAGGTATAACAATCTAGGATTTTATTTAAATGCATTGAAAAAACTTAGTTTCATAGGCGACAGTGGAGAAGAAAATTGATACTTAGCCCTAAAAAGTAAAATAAAACAATAGGTAAGCATGAAATATCATTTATTAAATCAGGTTTTCACACAACTTTTTCTTACTCTACAGTTCATGTTCAACATGGCTGCCTCTGTTTCTAATACATTGTCGCATCCTTCTACGGAGACCAGTCTTTACAACTGCAGTGGTCAACGTTGTCCTTAGTTGATTTGCTGCATCGACAATCCTTTCTCTTAATTCTTCCACAGACGAAACTGGATTTGGCTCGCTGTAGACAAGATTTTTCATGCACCCCCACACATGAAAATCCATGGGGGTTAGGTCCGGACTTCTTGCTGGCCATGGCAACGGCCCACCTAGTCCTATCCATTTGTTTGGATAATTTGTGTCCAGCCAGTCTCTGACACTTCTCTTGAAATGGGCAGGGCAGCCATCATGTTGGAACCACATGTCCCTTCTCAAGTTGAGTGGCAGATCATCCAGCAAATCTCTGAAGTCTCCTCTCAAGAAGTTTTCGTAATTTTCCCCATTTAGATTGTCCGGGAGAAAGTAAGGTCCAATCAAATGGTTGGAGATAATGCCCATCCACACATTCACGCTGAATCTTCGTTGGGACCTCGCCACTCTTTTCTTATTGGGATTCCTTAGTACTTTTGGGGCCCAGTAATGGGCGTTGTGATAGTTAGTTATGCCATCGTTATCAAATTTGGATTCATCTTTCCATAAGATATTTCTTAGAAAATCTGGGTCTTCTACGTCAGCATTTAGCATAAATCTGCTGAAGTCCAACCTTCTCGCGGGGTCTCCTTCTTCAATAGTGTGTACCGGCGTGTAATGGTACGGGTATAGGCCAGCAGTATGCACTGTAAACCACACTCTCCATTGCGAAAGTCCCAGATCACGGGCAACACGATTAGTGGAAATGGTCGGATCCGCTCGAAAGCGTTGCACTATCTCATTGTCCTGCAGTTCTTCGTTGTCATAAATTCGTGGTCTTCCCAGGTCTGTATTTCATCTCAAAACAGAGCCAGTTTCTCGAAGTCTTAGATAAACTCTGTTAAAAACGGCCACATCCGGCACTCGACGACCGGGGAAGCGAGTTCTGTATTCGTTGCGAGCTTGCGCAGATACACAATCGCAGTATCCGTAACAAATAAGCATATCAGCATATTCCTCAGGTGTGTAGGACGTCATCTTCAACACTTCCGTATCACGAGTACAAATCAGAGTCCAGTGAACAAGCACAGTATTCACAAATCAGAAGAAATAGTCCAGAATCGTAGCCAAGTCGAGGAAAAGAGCAAAACGATATCACATCTACTATGTACGAAGCACAAAAGCAGACTGACAACCAAAACAACATCCCGTGTTGGATTTCCAGCCCTAACCGGTTATTATAATATGTTTTCTTTCATTCGCACCCACATTAAATCGTCATGTCTCGCTCGCACGGTGCGTCTAAACTTGAAGGAGAATAGGCGTGGGAACTGCTACTGGAGCGTCCCAACTACTTTTTTTCTTCGAAATGTAATACAAATCCTAGATTGTTATACCTCGTTAGATAGCTGATAAAACATAGATATTTTAAAACACATCTGCCGAACAATTGCCATAATATTTTTTTTAGATATCCCTTCGAGAAAAATAAACTTTCTGATATTTTTTTCAATTTCTTAACATTCACTTATCTACTACGGCCTATTCAATTAACTTATGGACTATTTTAATGATTGACATCCTAAAGCATCTTATTACACATGTTAAAATGCAATAATAGTAATAATAATACACACAAAATAAAAATAAATACATTTAGTAGCCTAAAAATCGGCAATTTTCAATAAAAACATTAAAAGTTGAATATCTCGAAAAGGGTTAAGTTTAGGGTAGGGTGTTTCATAATGAAATAAGTCAGAAATGATGGGTACTACACGCCCTTAACGGATCTAGCACGACTTTTCCTGTAACCCTGTAGAAACGTTCCTCTTTAATGGTTCCCACGTCGATTCAGCATGGTGCCTTGTACGCAACGCTAACGATTGCAGTTATTTAGAAATTATGAGAACATTGTACATCGGACTTCATCAATTAATTTAATTTTCATGTTGTTATCTAGATCAGAAGCTTATTAATGATAGAACGTCTTTGAATAATCAATCTACAACCACCTACCCCTTACAACCCCAACCACCAAGTCAACTCCTACAAATTTCCAAAAATGACATCAAAAAACGAAGCTTTTGCCCATAGCAGTGCCACCACTGGACCGATTTTCAAGACAAAGCCTTTTGATCCTTGGCTACTATGCCAACCTTTGTGTGGAAATTTGATCAAAAGTTATAGGCGGTCTTAAAATTAGCAAAGAGACCGATGGAAATAAGTGACATGTTTTTTTGTGATATACATATAACACCCAAAAAGCATAATATTTCAATTTCGAAATTACAATACTTCCTTTCCATTTTTCCATAGGAAGTAAAAACAGATAGAAATGCTCTAATTTATACTTTATTAAGTCTTAAAAAAATGAAGTTATACTGCCGTACCCTGTACCAAATCCTGGAGAATATATTAGAACACCTTTTACATTAGATCCTACACAAGAATTCTAATTTTAGGGTGTCTGACAAAATGATGGACCGGTATCTTTTCCTGGACACATCCTCCAAAGAATTACTGGATCATTTCCAACTGAAAGACGACATCATTATATTACGTATACCAGAACTGAAAAACGATTTTGAAGACAGAAAGGATGTCTATAAAGGCAGTCCTGATACTAAACAACTAAAACAATTTGTCGAAAAGAAATACCACGGATTAGTAGCAATTCATCACAAAAATAACAAGCACCTTTTTAAACCTCCAATGGTCTTGATATACTGTCATCATTCTGACGACGGAGCTTTGATATTCTGGAGGAATCAGATTTACCCAGTAGCCACCAAATTTAGCCAAAATGTCACCTTCGTTGTTAGCAATTTGACCCAAGAGCTCAAAGGGTATGGTTACGACATTTTGACAGACCATGTAGCTGTGGTTGCAAAGGATACTGTAGGGCAGAAATTTGTGATGGACGACGAATTTAATTATGAGACGTTTGAGGAGTTTGTGACGAACTTTTTGGAGAAAAAGTTGGTACCTTTTCTGAAGTCGCAGCCTATCCCTGAGAACAGTGGTAGGCTGGTAAAGGAGATAGTAGGTGTGTTAACATCATTGTTTTCCTTTTAAGCGGCTGAGGAATTTATCAAAATATCGATTTAACAGTAATTCAAATAAAGTAAGAAGCTTTACAAAGTCCTATTAATAAAATATATGGGAGTTATACAGGGATATTCTATGTAATATTTTTTCTTCGAGTGCTTCATTAAAAAGATACGAAGTTGAAGTTAAAAATTAAATAATTTTTTTTAATATCTTCAAAACCGTCAACTGGAATGAACTAAAATTTGGTGTTTGGATTTACTTAAATATTCCACATTAAAAGGGATTTGCTTAAAATTAACGTGCACCAGTGGCGGAGATACAGGGAATTAGTGGCATAATTTTTCCAAATAAAAATAGTAGGCTACTGTTTTTTTTTTCGAAACGCGTATTTTTTGAGTTTTACCTTCAATTTTGCTACGAATAATTACTCTTGTGTTTTTTCCTCGAGTGCATGGTTTTCGTAAAAATAAAAAAAAATTAAGTAACCAAAGCTTTATTTCAATAAATGTTCAAAAAGACCACCATTCTGACGGATGAGAATAAGAACAATGATGTACTATTTTTATTTGAAAAAGTAGTGCCACGAATCCCCCGTATATTCGTCACTGGTTCACGTTATTTCAAAGTAGACTTTTGAATATGGACAATACTCAGGTAAATACACATATCAAATTTTAGTTCATTACGGTTGACGGCTTTGAAGATAAAAATATTGTTTTTTACTTTTAAACTTCCATGAAGCCCTCGAGGAAAAAATGTTACACAGAAGACTCCCCTTAAAATGCGGTCCTGTGTATGTTGTTTAATTTTTGATCACGACTTGTGAATCACCCTGTATAGAAATTACCAAACTAGTTATTTTAGATCATAAATACTAGAAAGTATAAAATAAATAAAATAAAAGGTATATTTATAAACAAGCTTCTATTTAGCTGTTCATGAAATGAACTAAGAGTGTAAAAATGTTTTTTCTATTGGAAATATTCAATATATAATGAAGCTCCTTCATCTCAACTTTTCAAATAAAAGCGTCCTTTAAAAATTTCCAGTCGGAAAAAATATATTTATATATTTAGTTCAGTTTATGAACAGCTGAATAAAAGCTTGTTTTTGAAAATATATTTGAAAATTTGTTGAAAATATGGTTGCCGTTCTTACATACGCAGTCAAAACCCGATTTTAGTCGTAACCCGTATTGCCTAATCAAAACTAGTTGTAACTGAGTGTCTTTGTTTACACTGGTTTTTAACTGCTGAATGTTATTAAATCTAGTTCTATTTGAGCATATTTTTCAAAAATATCGCGGCCAGACAAAAATCTAAAATAACATTTTGTTGAAAATATGGGTGCCCTTCTTACATACGCAGTCAAAACCCGTCTTTAGTCATAATGCGTTTTTCCTAGTCAAAAATAGTTATAACTGAGTGTCTTTGTTAAAACTGGTTTTAACTGCTGAATGTTAGTCAAAACTAGTTATACTTGAGTGCATTTTTCTAAATTGTTGCGGCTAGACAAACATTAAAAAAAACATTTTGTTGAAAATATGGGTGCCCTTCTTACATACGCAGTCAAAACCCGTTTTTAGTCATCATGCATTTTGCCTAGTCAAAAATAGTTATAACTTAGTGTCTTTATTAAAACTGGTTTTAACTGCTGCATGTTAGTCAAAACTAGTTCTACTTGAGCGTATTTTTCGAAATTGTTGCGGCTAGACAAGAATTTAAAAAAAACATTTTGTTGAAAATATGGGTGCCCTTCTTACATACGCAGTCAAAACCCGTTTTAAGTCATCATGCGTTTGCCTAGTTAAAACTAGTTGTAGCTGAGTGTCTTTGTTAACACTGGTTTTTAACTGCTGAATGTTATTAAAACTAGTTCTATGTGAGCGTATTTTTCGAAAATATCGCGGCCAAACAAAAATCTAAAATAACATTTTGTTGAAAATATGGTTGCCCTTCTTACATACGCAGTCAAAACCCGTTTTTAGTCATAATGCGTTTTTTCTAGTCAAAAATAGTTATAACTGAGTGTCTTTGTTAAAACTGGCTTTAACTGCTGAATGTTAGTCAAAACTACTCGTAGTTCTATTTGAGCGTATTTTTCGAAATTGTTGCGGCTAGACAAAAATTTCAAAAAAACATTTTGTTGAAAATATGGGTGCCCTTCTTACATACGCAGTCAAAACCCGTTTTTAGTCATCATGCATTTGCCTAGTCAAAAATAGTTGTAGCTGAGTGTCTCTGTTAAAACTGATTTTAACTGCTAATTGTTCTATTTTTCGAAAATATCGCGGCCAGAAAAAATTTATTAAAATATTGATTACAAATTATCAGATATTTTATCAATTAAAAATAATCATACACCAAAGGAACCTTAAAGAATCTCAAAACGCAACAGTAATACCATAACAAATTCAGGTAACTGAAAAATATCAAGGGCAGCTTAATAAAAACATACATAAAATGAAAAAAGAGACAAATTTACCTAATTCTTATTATAAGACAAACTATCGTGTCATTTTGAGTTACAAAGGTTGCTTTTTTTCCTTTAGAGACACTTTTTGAAGTACCCCTCCTTATACAGGGTGACTTCGAAGTTGAGTCATTTATTTTAACAGTGAGTAGATCTGATCAAAAGAAATGCTTTTTTCCTTTAACATTTTTCTGGTAAAATTAAAGTAACAAAGTTATAGCCCTTTAGAAGTTTGAGTACCACCCTGTCTCAATAATAATATTATGTGCTCGTGTTTGGCAACAACGGATATAATCCGCCTTATCCGTTCATCGCATCGGAAACAAAAAAGCGAAAGAATTTGAAACGATGTTTTTACTACAATGTATAATTTTATTCAGTTGTTTTCCGTCAATGTGTCAGTCAGTAACGCGTGAGTGAATAGTGGTGTTTGTTGCGTGGCTTAAACGAAATAAAAAATGCACATGTTTACGAAAATGCTGAACTTATGGACATGATTCTTATTTACGGGGGGGGAGTCTTTATGCGGATCGGCTTCCTAATCGAGTGCAACCAACCCCTCGTGCCTTTGTTAATGTAGTACAAAGGGCTCGTGAATCAGGTGACTTAAGACCTCACAGGGGAGTGCATGCCGGTGCTCCAAGACCGCACGATCAAATACAGGTCCGCACTGAAATACTTGTCGGGAGGATACTTTATAAAACAAGGTAACATTTTTTTTTTAATTTTTATTTTTATTTTTACACACATATTTTGGTTTATCTTCCTTGTACAATCATTATCTGAAAATTAATGACTCAACTTCAAAGTCACCCTGTATACGCAGTGGTTAAATCCTTGCTGCTTCCTTAGCAACAGTTCTAAAAGGTAAATTTGTCTGTGGTACCTCTTCAAGACAACCTTTAATCCTGGCTGAAACAGTTTTAACTGAATCACTTTGACAAAACGCGTTCTATCTAGTTAGAACCAATTTTGACTACAACCAGTTTTGACTAGGCAAAACACTTTATGACTAAAAACTGGTGTTGCCTGTAGAGATATGTGTTCGAACAGCTTTTTCGATGTGCTTTCAGGCAAAAGTTTCAGAGATTTGGTTCTAAACAGTGGAAGAGACACATTCATAGGTCTTTACGCAGCCTGGTCTCCACATTGTCAAAGCCTTGAGGAGCAATACGACCAGTTGGCTAAGAAACTGGCAGATGAGGATATCGACATAGTAAGAATGAATGTCAATGAAAATGATGTCCCTCTGCCCTATCACGTAATCGAGTACCCCACAGCGTACTTTGCTCCTAAGAGCAATAAATCGCATCCTATACTGTATGATGGTGAGAAAAAGTTAGATACAGTGATTAGGTTCATTGCAAGGCATGCTACTGAGGAGTTGAAAGGGTGGGACAGGCTTGGGAATAAAAAGAAACTAAAAACTTCATCAAAAACTGAGTTGTAACGTTTTAGTTTATTGTTGTATCTTAATGTAGCTATTTGTTGTATATGTTTTTAATTGAAGAAATATATAGCTAATGATTTAAGACTTTGTTTTGTATTTATAATAGCTGCAAATTTATTTATTAATTTACGGTTTCCCATTACATACAAAAAAATCATGTTTATGTATGTTTAAACTAAAGACGAACTAAAGGTAAATGTCATACCTAACCTACTTACTAGTATATTTGAAATCTAACAAACTAAAATTAAATAGAAACCGTTTTCATGTGTTTTTTGATGTAATATTGCTACTGAAAATATGCAGGGTGTTCCTTAATGATATGCGAATATTTAAGGATGTGAATCTACATGAAAAATTAATGTTAGTTTGCTTCAAAACTACAGGTATGGTCCAAAAATGTTTCCTTACAAAAACTCGGGGTGTTGAAGTTTTATTTCACTGATATTTAGTACGTAGTGAAAGTTAATAGAGTTGCATATTTTTCAAAGCAAAAATAATTTTTAGCAATACCAGTGGCGTGCGTACGGGTATTGACTTCGATATTTTTAAGAAAAAAATTGTAGGCTAATGTTTTTTTGCCAAATATAAATTTATTTTTGAATTCCCCGTTCAATTCAAAACAAATGATCTCTCTTGAATTGTTTTCTTTCGAAGCGCGTTGGCATCTTTTTCATTATTTCGTTTTTACAATCTTGTTAATAATGGTGAATTATTCAAATGCAGAAATGGCGGAAATGCATCACGTATATGGCCTTGCCGACGGTAATGGTGAGCAAGCCAGACGGATTTAAGCATCCCACAAACCGGCGCGAAATAATCGCGGCGAAGTATTCGCAACGAAATTCAGAGCGAAATTCGCATTCTGTTTCGCCTGTTTATTCATACCAAAGCGTCTTATTCGCTCCGCGAACGTGAAGGTTTCGACAGGTTGCGTACTTTTTATTTTTGCCTTTTGCAATGAGCTCGTCTTCAGAAGAAGAGGAGGCACTTCTATTTCTTGCTTTAGAAGAGGAACAAAATGCACGGTAAGTTATGTTTATTAAACGCCATTTGATAGTTGGGTATGTATTAAGTTTAACGAAGTACATAAAACAAATATTTTCAATTTTGTTTAGGAAACGAAGGAAGTGGGTACATGATATTAACTTGGAACGAAATAAATTTGGGGAATACCATACCTTGATGCCACAACTTCGGCTGGATGAACAGCGCTTTTACGTATATTTTAGAATGACTCCAGAGTGTTTCGATGAAATATTGAACTTGGTGAAAGATGAAATACGAAAATCTGACACAAATTATCGTGAAGCTATTTCGCCAGAAGAACGACTGGCTATTACACTCAGGTAAAAAAATTATATGTATTAAAATTAGTAGGCTTATCGAATACGAAAACTTCAGGGATCGTGAAATAAATATTTTATTGTAATAATTGTACTACATGTTGCCACTAGGATTAAATGTTGCTAAATAATTCGAGGCAGAATTTGTCTCCTCTGTTGGCTATATTATTGGAGTAAACCCAGTGCCGCTTGGGAAGGACGACATACTACTATCATACATACTTGCAGAATTCTGGGTAGACGCTGAAGACATTTCTTCAATATGTTCAAATTCTTCGTGCGCTATTACTTCGGCTATTTTTAGTTTTATTCGGGCTTGACGCTTTAAGGGAAGTGTTTTCACAGTCTGTGCATGTGCCAAGAAAAGTGAATCAATGGCCTCGTTCTCTTTTTTAGGTTTTTTACCTTCAAAATAATTAATGAGCTGTTGTACAGACGAAGATGGTGGTTCATAGCGTTTTCTGCTCGTTTTATATTTTGGTGTAGTTGCAGTCTGCGGAAAGGTGTGCCCTGGAGTAGTCACTGCTGTAGTGTTCAATGAAGAAGGTGGTGCTGTCTGTGTTGCCGAGGCGTTCTGTGCATCTTCTGCATCTACATCAGCATTTTCATCTTCTCCATGGCCGCGGTCTTCCAAATTTTCGGTTTCTACATTTCCAGCCCTTTCCTGATATATATTTGAGTTAAATTCGGCAGTCTCATAATGTATGACGTCAATATCTTTCACATTAGACGACGTTTTGGCAAATGCCAAAAAAGGACGGAAAAATTCCATGTAGTCAGCCCACTGCCATTTTTTTATGTTGTCCACTGCTTGGCCGGTCTTTGGTTTGGTAGATTTTATATATTTTGCAAATGTGTCTCTGATATTCTTCCACCTTTTTTTTACTTCATCACCTAAAAACGATTTTTTTTATAGATTCCTTGCCACTGGTGACACCTTCTATACCATTGGGCATAGCTTTCGAGTTGGCTTTACAACAGTGAGTGCAATCGTAACCGAAGACTGTGAAGCGATATGCAGACATATGGAGCATATATATTTACCAGAACCAACAGAGAATATATGGAAAGAATATGCTGAAGAATTTGAAAATAGATGGGGATTTCCCAATTGCATTGGCAGCGTGGACGGTAAACATGTAACAATCAAGAGACCTAACAACAGTGGCTCCAATTACTGGTGCTATTTACATAAATATTCAATAGCACCTATGGCCATTGTTGGCCCGGACTATACATTTATATGTGTTGATATTGGTGGTTTTGGAAGAAATAGTGATGGGGGTATTTTCGAAACCTCAAACATGGGAAAACGATTTGAACAAAATTTAATGAGTGTCCCTGCACCTAGATTTCTCCCTGGGCAAAATGAAATCTGCTCGTACGTCTTAATTGGTGATGAAGCATTTGCTTTAAAACCATACCTTATGAGACCATTTCCTTATAAGCAGACTTTAACAGACGTCAGAAAAGAGAAATACAATGTAAGACTTTGTCGAGCTAGAAGGGTCGTGGAAAATGCGTTAGGTATTTTGTCTCAAAAATGGCGAATATTTTACAGGCCATTAGAAACTAAAGTAGATACTACTATTATAATTGTACGTACGTGTTTTACATAATTTTTTACGAAGTAAAAGTGGCGATGACAAATATTTTCAATTCTTAGATCCCCAGAACCCGTACTTGGAGCTTTTACTGATATAGCAAATGATCCTCGGCGGGCAGCAAGGCTAGCATTTTCTACTCGTGACAAATTCGTAAATTATTTTAATTCTGATATGCCTATGCCCAATATATAGAATGTTCGTTTTCACATTTGTGTAGACTGTAAATTATTTAACAAGTTAATAAAAAATATTAGGTACATACCATTTGTATTTAATTCTTTTCCTATTTCCATCCAAATCTTGTCGTTCTTTCACACATTCCTGTATTCATCGTTCGACAAATCATACAAACAAGGATACTTTTTCACTATTTCTATCAATAATTCCGTTTTTGTCATTGCGAATTTTTGAAGAACGGCGTCAAAAACGCGGTCAAAGGCGAACTGAAATACGCCGCGATAAAAACGCTGGAACAATCGCATTCGCTTCGCACAAGTCTGAGCCTGTCCGTAAACCGCCGCATTTTAATCTGATCGCGAATTCATTGCCGCGAAATTTTCGCAGCCAAAGCGAATATTTCGTGCCGGTTTGTGGGATGCTTTATCACCAGATATATCCCGTTCGTGCTTTGCCAGATAGTCGAACCTTTTCTAATATTCATCGTCGTCTTGTTGAAACCCTTGTTGTACATAGGTATACTTTATCTGAAGTCACTTGAAACACCGGGTGCGTTTTATATATCTATATTTAACACGCTCTGTTGCTGCTAAAATCGCCAAATTTCGCAGCAAATATCCCCCGTATAAGATCAAAGGCAGTTTCACTGGTCCACGTGGAGTAAAGCACGCCTATGCGTGGACATAGCCAATAAGAAAGCGTGTATTTCAGAGCTCCGAACAAGTGCAGGTGGCTACTGAAAATTGAAACAGTTTAGCCAGTGCCGTGTAGCGGTGAATAAACGTGTTTTCTTTAGTCTGTCCGTGTTTTTTCATAGATTTTATTAGTTTGTGTGTTTTTGACTTTTGAATACTCAGTTTACTTGTTGATTTAATTGTTGTGTTGATTGTTCTTGTGTGTCCTAAATATGGCTCTTTGGAGACCTTGGGAAAATGCTCCAAGCCACGAGGAGATGGTTGATGAACCTGTGCAGGCAGAATTCTTTCATAAAGATTTAGAGGAACAGACCCAAAGAGTAATCCTAAATATGTATGATTGTCTGAAAAACGAAAATCCAGATTCCTCGCAAAATCAAATTTTAAACAGAATTTGTATCCTGACAAAAATCAGTCGGTATACCATTTATCGGGTTATAAAAAGGGGAGATGTAGTCAACCATTCCTTCCACAGAAAGCGCATAGGGCAAAAATTAAAAAGAATAGACGTGGGTTTTCAGGAAGATATTCGTCGTATAATATACGGATTTTATAAAGAAAATTTGGTGCCCAAGTTGGAAATGATACGGGATAAATTAAAAGATTATCCTGAAGATTTTTATAATTACAAATGCTTAGACTCACTGCACTGTATTGTAAAACTGTGTGGTTTTCAATACAAAAAATTAGATAAAAGAATGGTGATTATGGAGTCGTCTCGAATCGTTGAATTGCGCCAAGAATTTTTACACAAAGCTAAAATCTATAGAGAGCAGAAAAGAAATCTGATTTACCTGGATGAAACGTGGTATGATACCCATGATGTTGTGCAGTACGGCTGGGTTGACGACAGCAACAAGTGCATTTTAAATGCACCATGCAACCGTGGAAAACGAATCATTATTCTCCATGCTGGCAGTGAAAATGGATTTATAGCTAATGCCTTGCTGTTATCTGCCAAAAATATCAAAGAATCATGTGCCGACTATCATGAGGACATGACCTCCGACTTATTTGAAAAGTGGATAGAGCAGCAGTTAATACCAAACATTTCCCCAAATTCAGTGATTATTATGGACAATGCGCCATACCATTCCCGACAGAAAAACAAAATTCCGAATACAGGCACAAAAAAACAAGACATTATTGATTTTATGAAGGATAAGGGAATGGAAATACCACAAAAATCAACCAAAGCCATATTATTGGATCTTATTAAAAGACAAAAATTTGTAAAAGAGTATGTTGTTGACAATCTG